CTTCCTTGTGGTCTCTGTGGCAAAGTGTTCACAGATGCTAATCGCCTACGGCAGCATGAGGCTCAGCATGGGGTGACCAGCTTACAGTTGGGTTACATAGACATCCCACCACCAAGACTTGGTGAAAATGGGGTGCATGGTCAGGACAGTCCTGATGCCCCCCGAAAGAGGAGCAGGATAAGGAAGCAGGTGACCAGCCTACAGTTGGGTTACATAGACATCCCACCACCAAGACTTGGTGAAAATGGGGTGCATGGTCAGGACGACCCTGACGCCCCCCGAAAGAGGAGCAGGACAAGGAAGCAGGTGGCCTGTGAGATCTGTGGCAAGATTTTTCGGGATGTGTACCACCTGAACCGGCACAAGCTGTCACACTCCGGCGAGAAGCCATATTCTTGTCCAGTGTGCGGGCTGAGGTTCAAGCGGAAAGATAGGATGTCCTATCATGTTCGGTCTCATGATGGCTCTGTGGGAAAGCCCTACATTTGCCAGAGCTGTGGAAAAGGTTTCTCCAGGTAAGAGGATGCTGATGTGAATCATAAATGGAAAAGACCTGGAGGGTTATCAAATCCATCTCCCAAGGACCAGTGCAGAATTATCTCTGCACTGCTAGTTTTAAGTATCCTAAGTGATGGAGCTTTCATCTTTCCTTGGGAAACTGTTTTGCAGCCTTGTGGAAAGGTTAACTATTAATTAAATCACAAAACTGGGGAATTGGGTGAGTCCTGGTTAACACTCCCAGTTTTGTCATAAACTTGGTGTGTAATAGTGGGCAAGTAACTTGTCTGGGAATTGAAATAATTGGGTACCTGAAGAGGTGCTGAGACTTAATTATGGGTTGTGAAGTGTCCTGATACCTTCCACTGCAAGTTGCTATTGAAGTGCAAGGTATTTATAAATCTTAAAATGACTTGTAGACAGTCCCATCGGTAAACATTTCCTTGTCTTAACTTCACTCCATTTGTCCCAGTGTGAAATCACTCAGATGTGAAGAAGTAGTATTTCAGAGTCTTCAGCTACAGCTATCTCTTTAGTACATGGCCTTTGTGTCCTTTGTGTTCATAGCCTTCTGAAGAGGATCCTGTTTCTACCCTGCAGCGTACATAAGATCTGTACATTTTATGTGGATGATATTTGTTGTCACTTAAGAGAGCTCCCACGAACAAATGGATCTTTGATACTGCCTTAATATGGCTTGTGTTTGTCTTTTTTTGTTTTGAGTTCAGGATGAGTTTGAAACTTGGGTCCTTCACAGATTCAGTGTTCAAATAGAGGGGAGGATAGATAAGGGAAAAGTCAACACCAGCCTTCCTATTTCTACAACAACCTAATTAATGGATCTGATCTCTTTGTCTTGCCTTGGTTGGTGAGAAAGAGCTGAGATGATAACCAGAAAATAGTGGAAACTTGCTTTGGATAAAGGTACCTCAGGAATGTAAACATAAAAACCTTTGTCCCTGCTGAATCCGCTCTTGTTATAAAGATGGGCTTTTTGATACACAAACAAAATCTATGACAAAGAGGAGCTCTCCAATAACAGGCAAGTTCAGGAATGTTCTAAGACAATAAATAAACTTGATACTGAAACAGTATCACCTTGAAATCTAATCACCATGACCAGTTAAAACCACTTTCTCGTTTTGTACCTGCACCTGACACCCCTTGCCAGTTTATATTTTCCAAATACTCTTAAAAAAAAGAGGAAAAACTCCCTGCTGTTGCTGTGTTGAAAGATTTTCAGACATAATGTAAAGTAACTGACTGATTTCTTGATGTCCAGAAAACTCAGTGCTCTCATTGAGTTCAGAAAGACAGGGTCTTCAAAAGGAAACATTGAAAATGTTTATATGCCTTCATAAAATAAAAATCTGAAAAATAGAGGATCTGTATTTCCTCTAGCCTTCTAGTTTTAGTAATCTTAACTGTTTTACAAAAGTTGTTAAATCAGATAGAAGTGTGATGTTTAATTTTGCAGTATGCCTATAGTTCAAGGATTGATTCAAGGGGCATCCCTGAAGTTCAGAGGTATGTACTAGGACGGGTGAGGAACCTCAGGCCTGGGGGTTGTATCTGGCCCCCAGCTTACCTGAATTCGGCCCCTCAGGCTCAGTGACTCCCTGCATTGGGGATCCTGCGCTGGTAATCCAGCTCCTCTGTCACCCACCCATAAGGCTGAAGCGCACAAAATCTAGCCTTGGCCCTTCTAGGCTCTGCTGTGCAAGGGAGAAGGGGGGAAGGGTGTCCTCCTTCTAAGTCAGCTGCTTTTCACTTTGCTTCTCACTTGTGTGCAGCCCCCAACTGATTTTTCTGTGGGTCACTGGCTCCTGGCCCTAAAAAAGTTCTCCACACCTGTACTAGGACTTTAAACCTCTGACTAGTCTTTCCAGCTAAACAGCCCCAGCTCACCTGCCCAAGCATCAGGTTTAACAGCTTAACTGTGGCGTTAACTCTGTCTCCAAAGCATGAATTCCACCCAGCTCTCTCTGATTGGCTAAGACTAGAAAGTTGGGGGAGGAGAGGAAGAGAATTAGTTTTCAAGCAGCTTTGGCCTCATACAATGAAAAGCTTTCTTCCCACCCAGAGAAACACCCACTAGGAAAATCATTAGCTATTCAGGCTTCCCTCCTTCAAAACAAGCTTTACACATTTTGGGGAATGGAATGACTTCTTTCAATAATAATTTGCTCTTCTGTAGTACCTTCTATCTGAGTCCCTCAAAGTATTTTACAAACATAAATTATGCATCACAGCATAGTTGTGAGAGAGCGCAATATTTTTCCATGTTATAGAGGAGGAAATTGAAACAGAAAAGTAGAACTTAGTGCCAAATTGTTCATCCTGGGGCACTAAAAGTTGAATTCCTAAGTCCATGTTTGAACATCTAGTCCAAGATGGCTTGACTATAAAAATATTCAGTGCTTCACTCACTGAATCACTTAGATTTTGGTGTCGAAATATGAATTTAGAAGTCCAACTGTACACAACCCAATGTGAACACTTTAACCTAGACTTTCTGAATTCTTGGATTAGAAAACATCTCCTTGCAGAGGGAGGGCAGGATATTAATCAGAGTAAAGCTCTAACTGTTTCTGATCTCTGTGTAATCAAGTAAAATATAGTAGGTTGCTTGAATAATCTGGAGTCCAGAGAGAACTTTTCTTGGAGTGGATGCAATAGTAGCTTTTAATTTTATTGTTTTGAAGTAAGTAAGAGTGTGTGTGTGTGCGCGCGTGCGTGCGTGCAATAGTAGTTTTTAATTTTATGGTTTATTTTGAAATGTGTATGTGTGTATACATACACACATATAAATATGTATATATTTTTTTAAGGCCAGATCACTTGAATGGGCACATCAAACAAGTGCACACGTCGGAGAGACCTCATAAGTGTCAGGGAGGAGCCGGGGTATAAAAGAGGGTTAATATCTTTTTGTTTTAAAAAGGGACAATGAATGTATGTGTGTGTAAAGAATGATCAAACATTGTTAGAAATATCATGTATGTATGCATGGAGATAAATATGTTTGTAACTAATCATGTTCGGTCTTCTCTTTACCCTCCCCCCACCGCTCCCTGTTGTCATCTCCTGCTGCTCTGGTCCTACTGCCTCCCCTCCCCCTCTACCAGATGTTCTTTTTTGCTGCTCTATCACAGTCCACACCCTGGAAATCTTACCCTGCTGCTTTGTCCTTGGCTGTCTCAAATGATGCCCCTTTTCTCTTCTGTAGTTCAGTGGCCACTAACAAGAGACTCAAATTCAGATTTCATTTTTTTAATAGTTTCAATTACAGTTGTTTAACTTCACTTCCTGTGAAGCTCTTTGTACATAGCTTTCAGAACATTGCACTGAGCAAAACTTCAAGCTTTTTTTCAGCAAGTGTTTGGGTGATGCCAGCATAGTATTCTTTGAAATATTCAGTTTAATATCAGTTTATAGTTCTTTAACAGTAAGACAGTAAGTCTTCCATTACAGTTTTTTTTTAAATTAACCATTTGTGAGGTGGGTGGGAGAATGGTTAACAGGCACCTGAGCAAAAGAGTTTCCATTACAAGACCCTGTCCTCACACACTCTAACTTTCTGAAATATATGCCTCTTGGGCTAAAATTTTCCATGTTTGTTCTCTGAAGGAAGGTGAATTTTTCAGAAAGTCAGAGCAAAATCCCTTCAGTTTTCTTTGAAGTCAGAGGGTGGGGGAGAAATTTTTCCAATCTACAAAATTCTAACCCCATCCTGTCTGACTATTGCACCTCACCCTGCATTTTCTGTCTCCTGACATGTGTCCCTGTTTTTCTTCCAAATTGTGTGGGGGCGTGTAGTTTCAAGTAATCCAATGAGCAGATTTTCAGAGATGTAGAGTGCCTAAAGGCTTCTGTTGATGTCACTGGGAGTTGTGCGAGCTTTGAAAATCAGGCCATAAGGCCTTCAAGGCAATTAAATAGCTCAAACTTATCTTAAGTCTTAATTTGGCTTAAGTTTCTTAAGTTGATATAACACTATAGATCAGTTTAAATCAGAAAAATTCCCAAAACACAGTTTTCATAAAAACAAGGTGTCTAGTTATACGCAGTGAGAATGTCTTTATTTTTTAAATGCACACTTAAATATTTGTGCATATAAAGTATGTATGTGTGTGTGTGTGTGTGTGTGTGTGTATGTATGTATGTATATATATATATATATATATA